TTTGTTGCCAAATTTTCAAGTTTGTATATTCAACTCCAACCTTTATATTATCCTTTGTACCTGTCTACCATCTTACTATCATATTATAACCAAGACATTACCATTATTCAGTGTTCTTACCTGTCCATTTAATTTTGTTTACCACTAGTTTTTTTAGTCACTTTTTATTGTGTGTGCAATTAGTGTATATTCCAATTACTTTTTTGCAAGTACCAAAACTATCTTTTGTTAGCTAGTACCAACTACCTCATTTTTTATTTTACTTTTTATTGTGCAATAAACTGCTCAACTTATTTAATATTACAAATCAGATCTTACTCCTAAACCAATATTATCTCATAGTGACTATCTGTCCATTTAACTTGTTTACCATTACTTAATTGTAGTCCCTTATATATTTTTTTGTCCTTTATTTTAGCTTTATATAACTACCTTAGATCATATATTCGCAATTGTTAAACTAATCAAGGTGCTATTCTCAGGTGCTAAAGTTAATAAGTTCACTATTTTGCCATTATACTCCAAAGCTCATTTATTTGATTACCACTTTATTGTTCACCACAACTTATATTAGTCCCTTTTATATTATAATTTTATATTATAATTCTAACTTTAAAGAATTACCTTTAAAGTACTACCTACTATCATATTCCCAAGCTCCATTATTTGATCATCACTTTATTTGTTCACCACAAATTATTTTAGTCCCTTTTATATTGTCTCCTTTATTAGCCAATACTGTAAACACCGAATTACAGAAAATATCTACCTGGATGAGGACTAACAAACTTACACTAAACACTGACAAAACCTACTTCATTCAGTTTGGTAGCAGAGCTACAGATGTACCTCTTAACATAACGATAAACGGATCACCTATCACAAAGCTAACAGAGGGAAAATTCTTAGGAATCCACCTCGATAATAGACTCAAATTTCATACACATATACAACAAATTTCTAAGAAAATTTCCAAAACTGTAGGCATACTATCGAAGATACGGTACTATGTTCCACAGTCAGCCCTCCTGGCCCTTTATCACTCTCTTATTTACCCTATCTCACCTATGGAATTTGTGCATGGGCTCAACAACAACTAACCATCTCAGACCACTAATTACCCAACAAAAGGCTGCAGTTAGAATGATAACAAATTCTTACTACAGGCAGCACACTCCACCAATATTCAAAACACTCAACCTACTCACCATACAAAACATCCATACTTATTATTGCACCTATTACATACATAGAACACTTAACTCTGATATTAACCCTCCCCTCAAACATCTCCTTGCCAACCTCAACAGAACACATGACCATAATACAAGGCACAGATCACTCTTTGATGTTCCTCGTGTCCATCTCACTCTATGCAAAAACTCAATGCACATAAAAGGCCCTAAAATCTGGAATTCATTACCTGTAAATATAAAAGAAACACTACCTGTTTATAAATTCAAGTCTCTTCTCAAAGTTCACTTACTCACACAAAACCAAATAAATACTGAATAACTGAACCATATAAATTGTATATCCTAAATGTTACTCACAATTATATCACACAAATGTTAAACCTAACTTTGTTATTTTTTTTTTAAATACACTACCTGAATGAATAGCAATGCATGCAACCACATGAGCTGTCTTTGTAATACTCATTTGTATTTTATAGTTATCTGTTTACAATAATGTCTTATCACTGATTTCATCATTGCTTAGTTAATCTTAAGTTAATTTTAAGCCAGCCCGTAATGCTATGCATATAAGTGGCTTTGGCATGCTGCTCTTACCTGTATTTTTTTGTACCTCTGTATGTATGCTAAAATTTATAAAAAAAATTATAAATAAATAAATAAATGTCTTAGAACAACAGAGATCCCGGACGGGTACCCCATTTGTTCCAAATAAGAAATTTTTTAAAGAACTTCAGAATGTGGCCTGTTACCATTTATTTCTTATGCAACAAGATTTTTGGATCCGAGTTATAGGTAAGTTAGTCTAGGGGAAATAATTTCAACTGGGAAACTCCATAGAATAGTATTCAAATTTATTAAAGTATTTAAATACAATACTTTATCTTCTCTTTGTAGTTAATTTAACTTAATACTTTGTACAATAAAATTACCATATACATTTAGTTCAAAATCATGGAAATGTCACATTAATAAGGAAGTTTAATTATTCTTCCTGTATCTAAGTCCTCATTAATATTTACGTCTCTTTCTTAACAAGACTGTAAACTCAAAATACAAAAGGTACAAGATTTAACAAGACCTTTGAATCTGGCCGTAAAGTATCTATGGATTACTGAACTGACCAAGAATATAAATATCAAAAGAGTCTTTCAGAGTAATGAGGAACAAAGTGAGTCAGCTCTAGAGTCCAATTCTCAAAACCATTCAACTGTACACCGTAAGAGCCAATATACGATCAGTTGTCAGGGCTAGAGCTGGGAGCAGACTGACTACTTGCCAGTCTGTTGACGCGTCGTCAGGTTGGATCAGCTGACCCACGTCAGCCAGCTGGACATAAACAATTGAACAATTCACCGGATAGTTCCAAGACTTAAACTCTATATACACAAGAAATTCTACCTAACCATAATAATAATAACCATAATAATAATAGTATGAAAGTATAGTAGTACCAACACTCTTATATGGGTGTGAAGCTTGGGTGGTAAATGCAGTAGCGAGGAGACGGTTGGAGGCAGTGGAGATGTCCTGTTTAAGGGCAATGTGTGGTGTAAATATTTTACAGAAAATTCGGAGTGTGGAAATTAGGAGAAGGTGTTGGAGTTAATAAAAGTATTAGTCAGAGGGCGAGAAGAGGGGTTGTTGAGGTGGTTTGGTCATTTAGAGAGAATGGATCAAAGTAGAATGAACATGGAAAACATATAAATCTATAGGGGAAGGAAGGCGGGGTAGGGGTTCGTCCTCGAAAGGGTTGGAGAGAGGGGTTATAAAGGAGGTTTTTGTGGGCAAGGGGCTTGGACTTCCAGCAAGCGTGCGTGAGCGTGTTAGATAGGAGTGAATGGAGACGAATGGTACTTGGGACCTGACGATCTGTTGGAGTGTGAGCAGGGTATATTTAGTGAGGGATTCAGGGAAACCGGTTATTTTCATATAGTCGGACTTGAGTCCTGGAAATGGGAAGTACAATGCCTGCACTTTAAAGGAGGGGTTTTGGGATATTGGCAGTTTGGAGGGATATGTTGTGTATCTTCATATGTGTATGCTTCTAGACTGTTGTATTCTGAGCACCTCTGCAAAAACAGTGATAATGTGCGAGTTGGTGGAAAGTGTTGAATGATGATGAAAGTATTTTCTTTTTGGGGATTTTCTTTCTTTTTTGGGTCACCCTGCCTCGGTGGGAGACGGCCGACTTGTTGAAAAAAAAAAAAAAAAAAAAAATAGTAAAAAATAGTAATAATACCAAAATAGTGATAATAACAATATAGTGATAATAGCGATAATACCATGGTATTTTTCATATATTAACAGATAATAATATAACGCCGAAAGTCTCTATTTTAGCTATAAACGGGGGACTTTCGCGCAATAATATTAAGTATGAACATATTCTTTTACAATAGTTAAATAACACAGGATGACCAATTTCAAAGATATAACATGCTGCTGTAGCACCATCTGCTGCTGCTGTAGCACTGTCAGCTGCTGCTGTAGCACTGTCAGCTGCTGCTGCTGCTGCTGTAGCACCTTTGTTGGTGTGGCTTATTGAGAATACCAAGAAACAATTTAAAACCCCAGAGGGTTAGCCACCCAGGATAACCCAAAAAAGTCAGTGTCATCGAAGACTGTCTAACTTATTTCCATTGGGGGTCCTTAATCTTGTCTCCCAGGATGCAACCCACACCAGTCAACTAACACCAGGTGAACAGGAAAAAATGCCTGGAACTAGTGCTCATATTGGTGAATTTAAACCCAGCAAAGGTTAGTTTGAGAGATTTAAGAATCGTAGTGGCATACACAGTGTGATAAGGCCTGTTCTGGAAGAAAATGCCAAACAGGACCTACATTATCAGGAGGAAAAGGCACTCCAGGACACAGTGTCTCATCAGTCATTGCTGCATCTTCAATTAAGGTAAGTGTCATTTATTCTTCATTTAGTAGAGTAGTACATGCACAATATATATTGTGCATGTACTACTCTACTACTGTGCATGTATCCTTCTCTTTGTGTGTAGGAAAATGTATATTTCATGTGGTAAAATTTTTTTTTTTCATACTTTTGGGTGTCTTGCACGGATTAATTTGATTTCCATTATTTCTTTATGGGGAAAATTCATTCGCATAACGATAATTTCGCATAACAATGAGCTCTCAGGAACGGATTAATATCGTTATGCGGGGGTCCACTGTATTTCGTGTTTCTTCGCATTTTTTGGTGTTTTTTTTTTTGTATTATTTGTTTTAAAAAATGTCACCATGGGGCCTACAAAGATTAGTTATAACAGCCAACCAAACAGAAAATTGGCTGGGAAGAACTTGTTCGATACTCAAACAGAGCGGCACTCGAACAGCCTTCTGGAATGAATTAAGGTCGCATACTAAGGTTCCCCTGTACTTGATTAAGCATGATATTGATGAGGCCATTTAGGGAGATACTACCATCCTCTCGTACAGCACTTTTTTACAACATATAATGCAGAAAAAGTGCTGCAAACTTTCATATCATTGATATAAAACTGCAACAAATCCAATTTAAGTGGTATACATGAATCATAAAAATTTAAGAAAAATAAATATGTATATAAAACAATTATTTAATTCCAATAACCAACATCCAATGTCATAATACTTTATAATTAAAATCAGTAAAGCAACAAGTAAAACTTAATAATTAAGACTAATAATGGCGAATTCCTGTATTACTGTACACATCTATATTAATATTTTGACAGTACGGCAATGACTCCATAAGTGCTTACCCATTGATTAATGTAATATGATAACAAGTTTAACAATAGAATTTACCTGTTGGAGAAGTAAGTGCCTTGGCCAAAGTCTTGCTGAGCATTTCCACCCTGCCGCCAGTCAATATTTTCTTTACATATTGTATCGATCAAAGAGGAGTTTATTCCATGGAATAATTTTTGCATATTTAACTGGTTCTCATCATAGCTGCCATGAAAAAAAACACAAATTAAGATACCTATACTATATGTATAATCCTTTTAAACATTTTAATTTTAAATCCTGTAACTGAATTTATAATTCTATCTGAATACAGTGGAACCTCAATATTTGTACATCTTGTATTCATACAACTCGATATTTGCCCAACTTTTCTGAAAAAAATTTGTATGTTGCCTCGATATTCGACCTAAACAAAACAGTCCATCTGGATGAATTCTGATGAAAACAAAGCATCATGCACTCGTCTCTTGTCAGCTTTCATTTGTTAAGCATCGTTCATACAAGCTCCATGAAACTTTTTGGTATTTCATTGTTATTCTGTGGTGTTTTTAAATATTTTCATCAAAAATAAGTAATCATGGGCCCATAAAGAGAGTAGTGATCCAAACAAGCCTAAAAGCAAAGCAGTAACAACAACAAAGTGAAAAAAGAACTCACTGCGAAGTGGGAAAGTGGAATGTGTTGGACCTGGCCACTCAATGTGGTATGGCAAAATCCACCATACTGTCCATATTGTAAAATAAAGAGGCAATAAAAGAAGTTGATGTGGCAAAAGGAGTGAAAATTCTTGCTGTGAAAAGGTCACAGATAATTGAAGAAATGGAAAAACTTTCATTAGTGCTGATTAATGAAAAACAATTTGCCAATGACAGTGTTTGTGAAAAAGCAAAGCAGTTATATAGTGATCTTCAGTGAGACACACCAGGAAACAGTGCTGAAAATGATGATTTTAAGCAAATAGGGACTGGTTTGATAGGTTTAAAAAGAGGAGCAGGATTCATAGTGTAGTAAGGCATGGGGAGGTTACCAGTGCTAACAGAAATGAGGCTGAAAAGTTTGTTAAGGAATTTAAAACCTATGTAGACACTGAGGGATTTATTCCTCAACAAGTTTTTAATTGTAATGAAACCAGCTTCTTTTGGAAAAGAATTCCTAAGAGAACCTACATCACACAAGAAGAAAATTCATTACCAGGCACAAGCCCATGAGAGACAGGCTAACTCTCTTGTGTGGTAATGCTAGTGGGGACTGCAAAATTAAACCCCTGCTAGTCTACCACTCTGAAAATCCAAGGGTGTTTAAGAAAAACAATGTGATAAAAAGTAAACTCAGGGTAATGTGGAGGACTAATGGGAAAGCCTGGGTAACAAGGCAGTTCTTCACTGAGTGGATACATAAAGTGTTTGCCCCAAGTGTGAAGCAGTACCTTGCAGAAAAAAACTTGTAATAAAGTTGGTAGAATTACCGACAATATGTAAAGTAAAAGGACACAAGTGCAACTAATGTGACATTTATTGTGGCAACGTTTCGCTCTCCAGAGAGTGAACACTGAAACAAGCTGCCTCATTCCAGTTTATATTTGTCCAACCTATTTTTATGTTACCCAAGTAATAGCTTTTATATCCTTTTACTCATGTACGAATTAATTGCTCTACCATATTGTATTACTTTTGTCACTACCACTACTACTACTACTACTACTACTACTACCACTAGTGAACATCGAAATGGTACCTCACTAGTATTACACCTCACTCTGAGCCTTTATATACCCTCTGTGTCCATGTATTGTTTGTAATGGCTTGATAAAGCTCCTGGAGAGCGAAACGTTGCCACAATAAATGTCACATTAGAAAAAAACTTACCATTAAGGGCATTTCTGGTAATGGACAATGCTCCTGCTCACCTTCCAGGCTTGGAGGAACATTTGGTGGCTGAATACAGCTTCATTAAAAGTGAAGTTCTTGCCCTTGAACACCACTCCTCTTATCCAACCTATGAGCCAGCAGGTAATTTCCAATATAAAGAAACTTTATACAAAAGCACTGTTTAAAAGGTGTTTTGAAGTGACCTCAAAACACCAGTGTTTAACCTGTAAACGGTCCAAGCAGATCTACGTTCACATGTGTAGTGCTACAAAAGTAGATCTACGTTTTTTTTACATATTTTCAAATGTAACAAAAAAAAAAGTAGATCAATGTTTTTTACACATTTTCAAATATAAAAAACAAAAAGATCTACTTTTTCACATATTTCAAATGTTGAAAAAACGTATATATATATTTGGAGCGTTTACGGGTTAAGGATAATAGACAATGACTGTGGGGGAAGTTTCTTTCAGAACAATGAACTCTACCTGGAAGAAATTGTGGCCAGACTATGTGTCTGTCAGATATTTTGAAGGCTTTCAGGCAGAGCCTGTAGCAAAAAATATTGTTTCTCTGGGCCAGTGCATGGGATTGAAAATGGACAATGAGGATGGAGAGGAGTTGGTGGAGGATCACAAGACTGAGCTCACCACAGAAGAACTTCAAGACCTGCACAAGGAGCAGCAAGAAGTGGATGAGGAAATTTCTTCTTCTTCAGAGGGAAGCAGTAAGGACAACATTTCCACTCCAGAAATTAAGGAACTGTGTTACCATTGGCCTCAAACAGAGCCTGGTAGAAAAATGGCATCCTAACATTACTGCTGAGAAAAGAAGCATCAACTTGTTCAATAACAATGTTGTTGACCACTTTTAGGAAAATTTTGAAGTCATCAAAAGCAGACAGCTTTGGGACAGTTTCTTTAGCAAAGAAAAAAAAAATCAAATGCTTGTGAATCCCCATCATCCTCAAGTGCTACTGCACTGAGACAGAAAAGAGAAAAAAACAGACGGGCAGTTACCTGGTGTTTTTATGGAAGATGACAACTTTTCCAAACAATAACACCTCTTCAACTTCCTCTTAGGGCATCACCACTCCTCAGTAAAGGTAAAGTGCAGTTAAATTTTCATTTATTTCATGTATTTATTGGTTTTATAGTTTTCATGTATGATTTTATGTATGCAAATATTACAGCCTCTCCTTACTTAGCGATGTACTCGTTTACCGATGACTCGGACTTACAACAGGCTCTCTGACCAGTATGCATACCTTAATAATGTATATTAGAGTTGATTTCCTCTATTTTGTTTATTGCAATATACAGTACACTACTGTATAAACATTTAAATATTACTAAAAATGTTATAAAATGTATAAAAGTGACATTAAAACAATATCAAAGATGGTTGACACAAACCCACTACCATTATAGTTCGTTCCTTGCTCAGCGACGAATTCATTTACCGACGTGGTCTTAGGAATGGAACTCCGTCGTTAAGTGAGGAGAGGCTGTATTATACAGGTATAAATAAGCAATATTTTCACTTAAAATGTTTTATAATTGGAAATTTTTTAGAGTCTGCAACGGATTAATCCAATTTACATTATTTCTTACGGAAAAAATTTATTCAATATTCATACAACTCACTATCTGTTTGGCCTTCTGGAACAAATTAAGTATGAATATCAAGGTACCATTGTATTATAACTATAATCTGCATACAAGGACCCAATGGTCTTTGACTTTTTGGGTTATCCTAGATAATTTACACATACATATACTACTATGTAGGATAATTGTACTTATATGGACCTATACCTAAATAAACTTACTTACAAAACACAAAATGGAAACAAATTTAAAGTCTGCTAAATATAGTAATTGCCTTCTTCCCTTTACTCAGCCACAACTCGGTACAACACAAATAAAATTGACAATTAAAAATATACCACAAAAATTTAAGACTGGACTGGACTGAACTGGATTTATCAACACTGGATTTTTTTTTTTTTTTTGAATTATGTTCCAAGGACATGAGGAAATTTTTTACATATTTATATAAATTACTTGCAATAACAAATTTAAAAAAGCATGTTAATATATTTGCAGATGATGGAAAGATCTTACATAAAATAACTAATGAAAATGAAAGTAATTTCTTATAAGACATTATGCACAAAATAATGTAATGGAGTGATAGATAGATGATGAAAATTAATGGTAATAACTGCCATGTAATGGAAATAGGAGAAAGCAATAACAGACCAAATGAAGACTAAAAACTATTAAAACATTAAAAATTTCAGAAAGAGAGGGATCTGAAAGTCATTAATTATTTCATGAAAATTCATATGCTATACTGAGTCAAAATATACAGATCAACTGTAAACTGACAAAAAAACAAAAAAAAAAAAGAATAGAAATCTTCCCTTCACACTTAGTCAAACAACAGTAATGGGTACCAAGAGGTATATATACTGCTGTACTAGAACTACATCACAGTTCTAAAATAATGACAAACTGAACAGAGAAATGGATACCAAGTGAAACTCTTTTCCTGTAATTAGATTAAAGTACAAACGGTATTAGTATTATTCATGGAGGAACATTAAACCAGTAAGGGTCATATAATACAAAAGAAATAGGAGGAAATCACATTGGATATTAAGGGGAAGGTAGTAAGATTATCCTTTATATTATCCTTTGTACCTGTGTACCTGTCTACCATCTTACTCATATTATAACCAAGTCATTGCCATTGTTATTTTTTACTTATTATTCTTTTAGTACTTTAATTTGTGAATTTTATTTTGTCAATTTAAATCTAGTTATACTCTTGATCTTGTTAATAACCTATATCAGACCCTAGTGCAATTGCAAGTACCATTTTAATTTGTATTTTTATATTATAAGTTTATACCTAGTTGTACTTTAGCTCATTCTAGCTCAATACTTAGACAACACCTAAACTAACTATACCTAGTTGTACTTTAGCTCATTCTAGCTCAATACATAGACAATAATAAATTCATTATATTAGACCTTAGTGCAATTACAAGGGTGAGTCTGGTGCCACTTGTAATTCGTTTTTTTTTTATAGTATTAGTTTATACCTAGTTGTACTTTAGCTCATTCTAGCACAACACATAGACAATATCAATTTCATTATGTTTACTAGTGACTATACTCTATATAACCAAAGTGCTTTAGCAGTATACTTATCCAAACTTCCCACCACTACAGAAATCAGTATTAGAACTCACCACATAATACAGGATATAAACAACCACTATTTAAACCTAAAAGATGAATGATCACGTTGACCCTGATCTAAACC